TCTGTGATAATCAATATTTCAAGAACAAAGATGATGTGTTTTAGCGCGTTCTTTTTGCTGACGTGCGAAATTGGTCATTTGGCCATTTTCACGATTATATAATCTAATGCTTGCAAAAGAAGAAAAAAGGATAAACCTATTCCCTGCATTACCATGAAAAACTTTACGAAGCTTTCACTTTTCACGGTTATACAGTTTCAAGAACAAATCCGCTAAAATTTGCTTTTCTTTTTCTATTTTTTTTTTTAGGTTAGAGAGTAAACATTATTCCTTGGAAATCCATTTTCATATAATTTCGTTTCTTTGCCACATCGGAATTTTAACCCCGAGGATTTCTTTAGTCTCTGCATGCCTCAACATTGTCTCTGAGTGGATGAAAACATTATAAACGAGCATGTATGTTCGTTGTCATTTTGTGTGGCTGTTCAAAGTTTAGCTTTTTTTGCTCGCTTTGCAATCTGTCTGATTGTTCTAGTTTTGAATGAATTCAATATTTAATAACTTTTTGAAATATCATCTGATTGTAATGATTTGAACAGCGAATTTCATCGTTTCTGCAGCTCTTCTGATTCAATAACAAAATTCTTTTTTCAAACGCTTCGAAATAGTTTACTCTGGGGAACATACTTTATCACAGATGTAATGATATAAGTGATTACCAACCGGTACGATATTACCTCACTCCCATGATAGATGTGATCAAATTAAGCTCTCCTAGGGAAGCTAGAAAAGTAAACTTTTCAGGGGAGTTTGAAACACGTGCTGTTGGCCTTCTTTCCCAAATTGCTAGCAAACAAAGATAGCGCTACTGTAAATTAAATGAGTTAAAGGTAAAAAAATAATAATAATGTTGACAAAAATTATCTTTGGCAAGAAACATTTATGGCAATAATAGACTGTCAACATTCAAAGAGTGACACGATAATCGATTAGCGCTCAGAGAGTAATTCTGATTCGATTATAAGTCTGGATCTGTTTACAGGTCAATGATGCTCTAATAAGACTGAGAGAAGATGACTAAAAAGCTCTAAAAAATTATTTAAATACCCAATTATAGACAAAATATCGCCCAACAAGTATGTCATTTTGTTTCTTGCGGAGGTAAAACTAATCCCGTTATTATACGGCACATACAACTGTAGTAAATGGGGTAAAATGGCGAGATCACGAAGCCTTTTTTCTGTCTCTTGTAATGGAGAGTAGCCGCAAAATGGCGTCTTTTGTTGTCGTCTGTAAAGGAATGGAGCCTTGGTGAGAAAATGATTAACCCAATCATCTGCTCTGCGGATAACACGAGCGAAGCAAAACAAAATTTAAAATCAATCTCTCAAAGATAGTCTGACTTATTTTAAAATAGTCGTGTTTCTTGAGTTTAACTTTTGCCCTTAAGGTTTAACTTTCATAATAGTCTGAGAGTAGGTTCATTTGAATAAAATGGTGATGCAATGCGAATTCTCAGTTCTTTTTTAAATCAAGGTTTAAATGTAAGAGCTTCTCTGCAGAAGGGCAGTCGGAACAGTTACATACTTTAGACTTCTCTTTTTCTTTGCGAAGCTCCAATGCCTTAACGCGATTAATAAAATCTGGGACACTCTATGACATCTTGGTAGTCTGACATTACACGTACGCAAAGGCAGGTTGGTTGGGGATTGTAATCTTGCAGTTGTGCCTTTTGCATGCCATTTCACAATGTAAAATTTAAAAAAAAAAGAAATGAATAAGAAATAGGATTTTTCTTCCTCTGTGAGCTATGATATTGTTAGCTACATTCACTCTGTCTTCAATGGAAAGTTTCAACGTCTCATGGCGACACGACCCCAACGTTTTTGCAGATCTGGAAATTGACAAAGAGACTACCGCTGGCAACGTCAATTTTGCCAGATCTGTGCTCAATTTTATGACAGTTCCTGTCGCGCTGTCTGGTTTTGGCGCTAATCTCCTGAATTTAGTGATTTTTTGGCGTCAAGGGTTTCGGGAAAGTGTCAATGTTTCTTTCTTTTGCCTGACGATCTCTGATCTCATCACACTAATAGCCCAGCTCGTCAAGTGTGTAGCTGTAGCCGATCAGGAACTGTCTTTCGTGTACGCCACTCCCGAGGTCTGGTTCTTGTGTGAGTTGATAATACACTCGAGTTAAGCTATTTGCTCATGTTTGTATGTATTATCATTGTTGCTTCTGTTATTGTTGTTATGGTGGTGGTGGTCCTTCCTGTAATTGTTGCTATTGCTGTTGCAGGGTGTTGTTGTTGTTGTTGTTGTTGTTGTTGTTGTTGTTGTTGTTGTTGTTGCTGCTGCTGTAGCTTTTGCTTTTGCTGTTTTTATTGTTGTTGCTGCTGCTGTAACTGTTGTCATTGATTTTTTTATAACTTAGTGGTACATGTACAAAGACGGAAAAACCTCAAAGGAAAGACATTTTGTATAACTAAAGAAACGGAAAAATCGGCTACCGAACAGGCTAGATTAAGAGACTAGATTTGAAGAGAAACAACAGGCACCGGAATCTTCAGTGTTGTTGAGCCGCTATTTCTTGTCAGCGAATGTAGGTCTGATTAAGTTATCAGGTACCAGTAAAGGCCCAATACAATCTCATATCAGCAGGACCTTAAAACAAAATCTCTGTGCATTTTAGAGTATAATCCAGTTTGTTTTAAGAGGTAAGCCACTTTCTCTCTCTCTCTCTCTCTCTCTCTCTCTCTCTCTCTCTCTCTCTCTCTCTCTCTCTCTCTCTCCCTCTCTCTCTCTCTCTCCCTCTTTCTCTCTCTCTATCTCTGTGTCTGTCTGTCTGTCTGTCTGTCTGTCTGTCTGTCTGTCTGTCTGTCTGTCTGTCTGTCTGTCTGTCTGTCTATGTCTTTGTCTCCGTTTCTGTTTTGCTCTCTCTCTCTCTCTCTCTCTCTCTCTCTCTCTCTCTCTCTCTCTCTCTCTCTCTCTCTCTGTATCTCTGTGATATTTTTTAAACAAAAAGAATCGCTACCATGAGTGACAAAACCTCTGTAGTCCAATCCTGCGTGTCTCAGAGATGTGCAAGGGAGCACAATAGTGTTGGGGTGGTTGGGGGGGGGGGGAGGCGGAGGGGAACTGACCGACGAGTAATTCTTTTCATCACCATGGTAACAGAGATATATTTGGGTGATGCACTGTTTGAAACCTCAACTAAGCGAAGAAAAAAGAATTACTTTCTGCAAGTGCTTTAGAGCAAAACGTCCTGAAAATTGATGCATTCAATGACGACATCTATCTATCTATCTATCTATCTATCTATCTATCTATCTATCTATCTATCTATCTATGTGTATATATTATATAAGTATGTGCAGTTTGTTTGCTTATTTCTTTGTTTGTTTGGCGGAGATTAGAGAACTTTGGGGAGAGGGTGTTGTTCTTTTGTGTTTCAGGCGGCCTTCAAGATGTTTAAAATGTTGTCGACTATGACGTTAAACGTTTAAGATACTCAAACAGTTGATGATATTTAAACCAAACATTGATAACATGCCATTCAGCTATTATTGATGTCATAAAATCTTCTTCTGAAAGCGGCAAACTAAAAACAGACATCGATGGTCATTTTTGGTTTGCTACTCATTTATATCTGCTCAGATGCTCTAAAAAAAGTCAATTTTTATTATCTTGATGTTTTCTCATTACTAATCATGAAGTGGTTTCGGTAGTCTAAATGATAGCATTTGTATAGCGCAAATCCCAGCTCAATAGCAAGCTCTATGCGCTTGGAATAACATCAAGAGGCTAGCCCAGGATAGAGAAAAGTGGGGGGTGTTTGTCCGTGGCCTATACCCTGGTGCAGGGTGAGAAAGGCAATGATGATGATGATGATGCGCTTCAAAATCTATACTATTACCTCAGCAAACCTGAGAGCATTTTAAAACAACCTCAACTTCCTGGGAAGCATACAGTACAAGCAGTCATTTATAGGCGCTAAAACACTAACATACTGACAAGATCTTTCTCTGTCTGTGGCCGGGTACCCATTCCCACCTAGGTGAAGTGAGTATGGTTTGTGTAAAGTGCCTTTCCCAAGGACAGAACGTCGGGCTCGCGGCTCGAACCCCCGAACCCGCAACCTTACTATTACAAGTCCGGTACCTTAATATCAAGCTGTCGGATTGTTCTTAAACGCCTCGGGTTTCGAGATTTTGTCTGGTCCGGTGTTATGTCTTTGTACTTTTACACAAATTATCGTCCCATAATTTGGATCCCTCCTTTCAAAGAAGGGCGTTGCATTCGGAGATCCCTCCTTTTAAATAACCTTACAGGTTGCAAGGTACGATAAACTTATACAGTTTAGAGTATTTTGCCCCTACCATGATATTACATGTTATTTATTATGTTACCTATAGTCTTATTTTCATTTCCACTAATGTATTGTTTCAGCTTTCTGAATTATTTGCGGACATGCTATGTTTCCTATTGTCTTATTTGTTATCTCCACTATATATTAAGTTAAATAACCTAATAGTATTGATAGGGGCATAAAAACTGTATCATTTCACCATTTTCACATATATAATCATTTATATTTATTATTGCTTCAGCTGACTAAATTTTTTGTGGCCTTGGTATGTTTCCTTTTGTCATATTTCACCATTTCCACTAATAAAAAATACATTAACGCTGACTGGATCATCTATGGTCATGTTATATTTTTACTGTCTTATTTTGTCCTTTTCGGTATAATATATTATGTAAATTTTGGATTGTTTCTGCAGACTCAATTATTTGCGGCAATGTTTATGTTTCCTATAGTCTTATTTTGTCATCTACACTACATGTATATTAAATTATAAGTATATTTTTTTTCAGGTTACTGAATTACTTGCGACCATGTAATATTTGCTTTTATCTTATTTCATCATCTCCTCTGTCTCTATATTTGACATAATGTTTCAGCTGACTTAATTATTGGCGGCCATGTTATATTATTTCCTGTTGTCTTATTTTGTCCTCTCCGCCATATATTATATAATATTATTGTTTCAGCTGACTGGATGATCTACGGGCTTGCCCTCAACAGCTCGTGTACAGCTGTGTTCATCACCTTAGAGAGATGTCTGTGCACCGTGCTGCCGCTCAAGGTCAAGGACATTATCACACCGCGTCGTTCCGCCTTCGTTCTCGGCGCCATCTTCGCCTTGTCGATGGCTAGCATCTCCCCCATACTTTCCGTCATCCATCTCTTGTGGAAATACGACCCGCTGACCAATACGACCGTTCCTAACACACACTTCGCCAGTGAACGACCAATGAATTTGATTGTAACAAACCTGCTGGTAGCCAACCTACAAGCTACGTCGTTCGTGTTTCTCTTGGCGGCTACCGGAACTCTTATCGTCACTCTGAGAAGCAAGTCAAAATGGCGACAACAAGTGTCGGCCTCAAACCAAGCAGAAACTCTCTCCTGTAGGGATCATCGAGTGGTCAAGATGGTGGTCATCGTGTCCAGTGTCCTCCTCGTCTGCTACGCCCCCGCTCAGTCCATCCCTCTCACCAGTATGGTGGTTCCGGAGTTCCATTACCGCCGTCGCTATAGCAACCTGTACGGCGCCTCATGGGCGTTGGCGTACTTCCTGTATGCTGTCAACTCCAGTGTAAACCTGGTCATTTATTACAACATGAGCTCTAAGTACAGACGCACGTTGAATGAACTTCTCGGAAAGTCCTAGGAGACCTCTTCTGGCCCCTAAATGATTAAAACGATATTTTTTTAAACTTTTGTATTTCTTTCATTTCTTTTTCTTTAAGAATTATTTGATGGTGGTTTTGCTTCGGTTCATTCCTGCTGTTGCTTCATTTTGTTTTGAATTGTTGTTTTGATATGTTTCTGTATGTGTGTATATGTGTGTGTGAGTGTGTGAGCGTGTGTTATGCGTGTACGTGTGTGTGAGTGAGTGGAGGAAGGTAGATAGAGAGAGGGAGGGGGAGAGAGAGAGAGAGAGAGAGAGAGAGAGAGAGAGAGAGAGAGAGAGAGAGAGAGACAGACAGACAGACAGACAGACAGACAGACAGACAGACAGACAGACAGACAGACGGACAGACAGACAGACAGACAGACAGACAGGCAGACAGAGACAGAGGCAGAAAGAGAGACGGAGAGAGACACATATTTTCTTTTGCTGTTACTCTTGTTGTTGTTGTTGTTATTGTTGTTGTTGTTGTTGTTGTTGTTGTTGTTGTCGTCGTCAGTGTTGTTGTTGCTGTTGTTGCTGTTGTTGTTGTTGTTGTTGTTGTTGTTGTTGTCGTCGTCAATGTTGTTGTTGCTGTTGTTGTCCTGGGTAAAAAAAAAAGGGGGGGGGGGGAAGGGGTTGCAGGAGATTATACACGGATGTGAGCCGAGTGTTGCTCTTGTCAGCGCACTCAGAGTTGATACAACAATCACATACCAGCACATGTACAGAATTCACTCAAATCTCGATTTTGTTTTGTTTTGTTTTAGTACGTGTTTTACGGCCAAATAAGTGCCGAAGATTAGAAGTTGTCGCAAGGGAGTAACAGGCACAAAAAGAAGGAGGGGAGGTAAAGACGATAGATATTTGATAGGGTAGAAGAAGTAAACCACACCAAAGCACGGGCAAATCACCATCATATATCGATAGATTTTGCGTCCCAGAACCTTCCTGCGAAATGGGAAAATCCGATAAGTAAAACTAATACAAATTTGTCAAGACACTGTGGAATCAGGCGCTCGTTAATTTTTGAGCATTTGGAGTCGTTGGTATCATCTTAAAATTTAGAACATGTTCATTTGCCTTTATTTCGATGAATAAAATACCTATTTACCTTGAATGGAGTCAAGATATTAGTGATTGAAGGTGGTGGGGGTCGTCTGGTTTCGGAGGTCAAATAAGCGAGAAAATGACAGCCAATGTTGGGTGACTACAAAAGCTTGAGAGTTCTTAGAAACAGCAAATTTACAGTTTTATTGTGCCTTTATTCAATGTTCTTAAGTAAAATCCTCACAGAACTGTGTAAACTGCCGGAGATAAAGAGTTAAGCAAAATCCATACCGAACTGTGTTTTTAATAGACATAAAAAGAGCTGAGCCAAAAACAATATCCAACAAAAATTCGAAAAAAATAGGCAAACAGGCGCTAAAACAGTTTCTTCGATTTTATTATTTTTAAGAGCGCCTGATTTCACCATGATGCCTGACAAAGTGGTATCAATTACGTATTTTACCCATTAAAGAAAGACCCCCCCCCCCCCCACTTCTCTCTTAAAACACTCTCACATTCTCATATAAACAACGTAACTCTTGGAGTGAGGGAATTTGGGAAACCAACGCAATTTTGAAATAAGAACAGTGATTGCCTTTTTCTGATTGGTCTCATCTCGGCCAATAGAAATGGCGTTGCTATAGAACTTCCTGTTGGGCTAAGAAAAGGACCGGGATATATGGATCCGGCAAATTGTCAACTTCTCTTTTTTCTTGGGGGAGGGGGGGGGGGTCTGCAAGTGTTTCACGGCGCTCGCAACTACATAAGGTCATATTATAAGAGCGCGGGACACATTGAACCTTTTCAGTTGGTAGGAAACTGAATTTTTCCCGGGTGGTGGCCGAAATCTTATCGATTTTGGAACACCAAGGAACACCAGACTGTGAGACTGAAGAAATAGCGTGTGAGAATGAGAGAGAGAAAAAGAGAGAGAGAGATAGGGAGAGAAAAGAGAGAGAGATAGAGGGAGAGAGGAAGAGAGAGAAAGAGAGAGAGAGAGTGAGAGAGAGAGAGTGAGAGAGAGAGAGAGAGAGAGAGAGAGAGAGAGAGAGAGAGAGAGAGAGAGATAGAATGGAAATGTTTTTCTATCTGTATAGAATTAATGTTTTAATGAATGTTTCTAGTTACTCACGTTTCAACTTTATTGTGACCGTTCGTGAATTTTTATTGCATTGGGTTTTTTTTAGTGAACACATTTTCAACCTCACTGCGAGACTATTTTTCTCATATAAAATTGTACACATATGCATTTATATTATTTGTATAATACGTTGTTTTATGTACGCACTTGTCGATTAATTTTTAAGACGTGATGTCTTTTTCGTTGTAATGCGCATTGAGCATCTTTTAGAAAATGGAAATGCGCAGTATAAATGCTATTTATTATTATTACTATTATCTTTAACTTGCGCAACTTGCACACGGAACCTCCGAGATTTTTTGCCCCTTGTTCGAGAAAGAAAGGTGTACATCTCACCTACCATACGATCAGGAGTGTGGCTGTAAGACAGCTGTAGGAAAAGGTCAAGGGGAAGCAGTAGAAAGAGTCAGGAGCCCAGAGGAAGAGGCACAGAGGGTGTGGGGGTGGGGTCAGAAAATGGGGGCGAAAGCAGACGACAGATCATTGTTAGAGAGCAGGAAAGGATGTGAAAGGAGAAAATTTTAGAGAACAACATTTTCCGACGCTATCCGGATTCGAACCCGCGACCTATTGTATGAGAGGCGAACACATTAACATCTAAGCCACGAGAGCACCCCCACCCCCACCCATCCCAATAAATTATAGAATATGTTTACCTTCTCATTTGAAAAGAAAGTAAGTACCATTTGACCATTAAAACATAAACAGTTTATGTAATATACAACCGGTACCAATTTTATGCGCTACTGAAGATCGAATTATCTAATAATTACAATAATAGCATTCATGTATATTCTAGAGGATTTTTTTTGCCTTTTTCTTAATTGTGACATTGTAAGCCAACGTAAGAAAGTATACTGAGTTCATTTTCAAATTTTTCTGAATTTGAAATCCATTTTTGATGCCATAAGCCCTAAGTGCGTTACAGGATGTAAAATTGGTTGACAGCAGCATCTGAATATACGGAGTTCTCCCTCTCTCTCGTTGTTGTTACCCTTCATTTCGTCTCCAGTAAGAAAAGTGGGCAAAATAAAGGGAAAGAACCGTTGCGTATTGGCTAGTAAAGATGTTTCTTCTTTTACGTCTCTTTGAATGCACTCTGGTTGATGAAATCCAAGAGGAAAAAAATCATTGTCAGGAAAAAGTCCTAGCTTTATTGTTGTTTTAATAACGCATTGAGGTCGTTCGTTCTGGATTGAAGACAGTCTGTTTTCGGACACGTTGATAAGGAAGCATAACTTTGTTTTGCGTAGTGTAGGTTTTTCTCTTCTACCTTATTATAGTATACTTTTGATCTGACATATAAAAAGGCAGGTAACAACGTGCATACTATGAATTATTAGATAGGCAAATTCGTAATTCAAAGTTGTATATGGCGGTTCGAAATTTGCCGAAATAGTGGTCTTCTGCAGTAAAGACAAGTCCCCTACCCTAGAATTACAAAGTTCTATATGCTCAGTAGGCAACTTAGTTTTGATAAATTTGACGTAAAACCTTTTGAGTTTCACAATATATCAAGCTTTTTCGAAAGCAATTCTTTGAATATCTTTATAATGACTGCGCATGTTCTTACGATTGGTAATGACTCCGAACATTCTTACGATTTTGATAGAGCAGACAGAACATTGGCATTACATGTAATTGGTTTCTTGCCTCATTGTCTAAGTAACTCAAAACGGCCAAAAATGTTAGATGAACCTTGTACTTCTGAGGTAGCATAGTGTGAAACCACGTCTTTGAAGAGCAAAAAGAAAATAATTACAATTTCCCTGTGAATTGTAAAATTTTCCATCTGGGCTACATACGGTACGTTCAGAAACAGTGCCGGTGGCTTCTTAAATGAATCACCATTTCAATATTATTCTTAATACCGCGTGGCGGGGTGGGGGGGGGGGGTTCTTAGCAAGTGAAATTGCAATAATCACGAGGTATATATTATGTATTGTATCAATTTGACATATTACTAATTTTATGTTCCTTTCAACACATCGTGTGTAGATGGAATCTCTGCCAAATGTTTTCTGTTTAATAAGGAGAAAGGAAATATTCATATTACGTTGATGATAAATGGAAAGAAAACAAAATTCAAGTTCCCTTGCAAATTTCATGATGTACATAATATTCTGATTATAGATCTATATGAATTAATATCTATAGGGAATAGATCTATACATTGCATTTTTGGGCATATGGAGTTATCAGTATCATTTTAAACTGTACTCCAAATCTATCTAGAACAGAAGTCAACATATTTGTGATTGCACGAGGTGGAGGTTGCCTGATTTCAGAGGTAAAGTAAACTACAAAATGGCCGCCAAAGTTTGGTCACTTCTTGCGCTTGAGAGTCCCTGGTAACGGAAAATCTGCAGTTTTTTAGCCTTTTTTCAGCGTTTTTCAGTAAAATCCACACAGAAATGTGTTATTAAACGGACATAGATGTTGAGCCAAAAAAAAATAATAACCCCAATAATTTGAGAAAAACTTCCAAACCGGTTTTTTCGATTTCAGTATTTTGATGAGCGCCTGATTTTACAAGGACGCCTCACATAATGTTATTACAGTCTGATTTCCTCGAACTGTCATTTCCATTTTAAATTATTTAAATTATTCGAGCTGTCCTTTCCATTTTAATATTCTCAAACTCTTATTTCCTTTCTGATGGCCTCGAGCTGACATTTACATTCTAAGTTTCTCGTGCTGTCATTCTGATTTCCTTGAGCTGTCATTTTCTTGGAGTAACTATATAGGGAGAGGCCGTGACGTTGCGTCGTCCCCTCAACAGTTTTCCAAGCAAGTTGAAGCCGAAGGA